AGTTGGGTTGTAAATGTGCAAGTGTAACACCCAAACATGGGTGTACACTTTGGGCCAAGGCGCCCCAACCAGTTTTGGTTGGGCGCGTCCCAACCCCACTCTGCCACAATTGGCGGGGGGAACCAGGCCCCCCAATAATTGGCAGCCACCTCCAAAACATTATTGGTGGCTACTCCCATTGGCTAACCAATAATGTTACGGGTACCCAACCTAGGTCTCCCACTTCTCATCTCTTATATGTACCCACCATCTTTCTAATCAAACCAACTCTTGAGTTCACCTATCATCCCAACTATGGGATTCTCACACGGTATCAAGCTGTTTTGGCTAACGCCAACTTCCCCCTCCCTAGGAACCTCCAGCCATCATGCTGTCCTATGAGATCCTCGGCCCCATGCCACCTTCATGGTCTTTGCCCTACCAGCCTGCTCCCCTCCCTTAGGCTTTCACCCGTGGCATTTGAGGCGCTTGTACGCGCCGACCACCGCGACGAACGCGCCGACCAGCGGGACGTCCGCGCCGATCAGCGCGACGAACGCGCTGACCAGCGGGACGTCCGCGCCGACCAGCGCGACGAACGCGCCGACCAGCGGGACGTCCGCGCCGACCAGCGCGACGAACGCGCCGACCAGCGGGACGTCTGTGCCGACCAGCGCGATGACCGCGCCAACCAGCGGGACGTCCGCGCCGGCCAGTGCGACGAACGCGCCGACCAGCGGGACGTCCGCGCCGACCAGCACGACGAACGCGCCGACCAGCGGGACGTCCGCGCCGACCAGCGCGACGCCCGCGCCGACCAGCGCGACGAACGCGCCGACCAGCGGGTTGTCCGCGCCGACCAGCGCGACGAACGCGCCGACCAGGAGGACGTCCGCGCCGACCAGCGCGACGACTGCGCCGACCAACGAGACGTCCGCGCCGACCAGCGAAACGAACGCGCCGCCCGTCAATCCCGCTCCCGAGGGCATTCCGCCCATCAATCCGGCTCCCGAGGGCCTTTCGCCCATCAATCCGGCTCCCGAGGGCATTCCGCCCGTCAATCCGGCTCCCGAGGGCATTCCGCCCGTCAATCCGGCTCCCGAGGGCATTCCGCCCGTCAATCCCGCTCCCGAGGGCATTCCGCCCGTCAATCCCGCTCCCGAGGGCATTCCGCCCGTTAATCCCGCTCCCGAGGGCATTCCGCCCGTTAATACCGCTCCCGAGGGCATTCTGCCCGTTACTCCCGCTCCCGAGGGCATTTTGCTCGTCAATCCCGCTCCCATCATTCTTCTCCACGCTTCCGCCCACCTTCTCCCTCTCCTCCTGCACCTAAGGGCCATCCAACCCTCCTCACCCTTCCCCCTCGCGTCCTCCTCCTAAGGGCCATCCAGCCCTCCTCACCCTTCCTCCCTCGCGTCCTCCTCCTAAGGGCCATCCAGCCCTCCTCACCCTTCCCCCCTCGCGTCCTCCTCCTAAGGGCCATCCAGCCCTCCTCACACTTCCCCCCTCGCGTCCTCCTCCTAAGGGCCATCCAACCCTCCTCACCCTTCCCCCCTCGCGTCCTCCTCCTAAGGGCCATCCAGCCCTCCTCACCCATCCCCCCTCGCGTCCTCCTCCTAAGGGCCATCCAGCCCTCCTCACCCTTCCCCCCTCGCGTCCTCCTCCCAAGGGCCACCCAGCCTCCTCCCCTTCCCCCTCGCATTCTCCTCCCAAGGGCCATCTAGCTCTCCTCCCCCTTCCCCCTCGCGTCCTCCTCCTAAGGGCCATCCAGCCCTCCTCCCCCTTCCCCCCTCGCGTCCTCCTCCTAAGGGCCATCCAGCCCTCCTCCCCTTCCCCCTCGCGTCTGCGGAGAATCACTCTACAACGGTAGTGAGCTAGACTACAGGGTTGGCACGAACTACTAGAGGTGATCGTAGCTTTCCTTGGTTCCTTAGTGCTTGCACATTCACGGGAGAAATTGGCAAGAGTTTCCACTAGCGAAGTTGGAATTCCATAATTATATTAAAGAAGCAATGACAACAATGACTATATCAGGCACCTAGCAACCCTGAGCTTGGTTGGTCGACCGCCAGCGCAGCTCGGTCGACCGCCTGCCAGCATTGCGTAGAGGAGCCGCGCCAGCACTGCAGAAGGGCAACCTGCCAACAAAGCAGGTCGACGGCGTGCCCCGTAGAACACAGCAGTGCACGCGCTCGCAAGTGTGCGCAGACGATTGGCCCGACTTGCCTCGTTGGGCATCCGTCGGCTGTTGTCCGCGCCTGACGAGCCACATCGACTTCGGAATACCTGCCCGAAGTCGCCTGCGCCATCGCGATCTCGACGACGTTTGCGTGCCTCCGCAGAACTCGTCGAGCAGGTTACCCGGTCGACCTGGTCAACCCCTAGTGCTCTAGTCAACCCCTGGGTCCCTCTGGTCGACCACCAGGCGCTCCTGGTCGACCACAACTCCCGTCGAGCTACCCCCTTGGTCCACGGACCCCTTCCGTCGACCATAACTGCTCTGTCGACCTCCCGGTCGAACTGCAGGTCGACGGGATGCTCCAGAGACCTCCTGGTCGAACCGCAGGTCCTGGTCGACGTCCCACCCGTCGCCCAGACCAGTCAGTTGCAGCTGTCGAGCTCCCTGGTCTACAGCAACACCATAACGGTCCCCTGCAGCTCGACGAAGCCTGTCGAGCAGCTCTCCCACTGTGAACGGTCGGCTGCTACTCCTGTACATCCGACCAAGTCGTCGGCGTTGCCCAAGCGAGGGCGGGGCCAACACTCCATTCTTTTTAACAGCGTCCTCCTCCTAAGGGCCATCTAGCCCTCCTCCCCTTCCCCCAAGCGTCCTCCTCCTAAGGGCCATCCAGCCCTCCTCCCCTTCCCCCTTGCGTCTTCCTCCTAAGGGCCATCCAACCCTCCTCCCCTTCCCCCTCGCGTCCTCCTCCTAAGGGCCATCCAGCCCTCCTTCCCCTTCCCCCTCGCTTCCTCCTCCTAAGGGCCGTTCGGCCCTCCTCCCCTTCCCCCTCGCTTCCTCCTCTTAAGGGCCATCCAGCCCTCCTCCCCTTCCCCCTCGCTTCCTCCTCCTAAGGGCCATCCAACCCTCCTCCCCCTTCCCCCTCGCTGCCGCCGCCGTCTCCCTTCACCGCCGCAGCCCGCCCGCTGCAGCTGCCGTCTCCCTGCGCCGCCGCAGCCCGCCCGATGCAGCCGTCGTCTCCCTTCGCCGCCGCAGCCCCTCCTTCGGCTGGCGTGCCGCATCATCCGCCACAGCCCCTCCTTTGGCTGGCGTGCTGCATCATCCGCCGCAGCCCCTCCTTCGGCTGGCGTGCCGCATCATCCGCCGCAGCCCCTCCTTCGGCTGGCTTGCCTCCTCACCTGCAGCAGCCCCCCCTCCCGGCTGGCGTGCGACCTCACCGCCGCAGCACCTTGGGCTGGCTTGCCTCCTCACCTGCAGCAGCCCCCCCTCCCGGCTGGCGTGTGACCTCACCGCCACAGCACCTTAGGCTGGCTTGCCTCCTCACCTGCAGCAGCCCCCCCTCCCGGCTGGCGTGCGACCTCACCGCCGCAGCACCTTGGGCTGGCTTGCCTCCTCACCTGCAGCAGCCCCCCCTCCCGGCTGGCGTGCGACCTCACCGCCGCCGCACCTTGGGCTGGCTTGCCTCCTCACCTGCAGCAGCCCCCCCTCCCGGCTGGCGTGCGACCTCACCGCCGCAGCACCTTGGGCTGGCTTGCCTCCTCACCTGCAGCAGCCCCCCCTCCCGGCTGGCGTGCGACCTCATCGCCACAGCACCTTGGGCTGGCTTGCCTCCTCACCTGCAGCAGCCCCCCTCCCGGCTTGTCAATTCAGGGGTTGTGCACATTTAAACCCTTCTTCTGCTAAGGGGTTGTGTTAGATTATAGCATCAGTTGGGTTGTAAATGTGCAAGTGTAACACCCAAACATGGGTGTACACTTTGGGCCAAGGCACCCCAACCAGTTTTGGTTGGGCGCGTCCCAACCCCACTCTGCCACAATTGGCGGGGGGAACCAGGCCCCCCAATGATTGGCAGCCACCTCCAAAACATTATTGGTGGCTACTCCCATTGGCTAACCAATAATGTTACGGGTACCCAACCTAGGTCTCCCACTTCTCATCTCTTATATGTACCCACCATCTTTCTAATCAAACCAACTCTTGAGTTCACCTATCGTCCCAACTATGGGATTCTCACAAGGGGGGCGACGCGCGGGCCCCCAGGGCGCCGCTGCGGGCGACGGGCAGGGCAGCGCGCGGGCCCCCGGGACGCTTCGATGGGCGACGGGAGGGGAGGTGGCGCGCGGGCCTCCGGGACGCCGCGGCGGGCGACAGGAGGGGACAGCGCGCGGACTCCCGGGGCGTCGCGTCAGGCTACGGGAGGGGACAGCGCGCGGTCGCCCGGGACGCGCGGCGGGCAGGAAACTGCCACACGCCCGAGCGCGTGGCGGGCAGCGGGAAGAAAAAACGCCACGCGCGCAGTGCGCGCGGCAGGCAGAAGACGTCGCGTGCCCGAGGCGCGCGATAGGTAGTACAACAGTGGAAGCAGGTGGGCCCACAGACCAGGAGCGATCTCACTCTGATAGCATGCCAGAACAGTAGCTAGAAAGTTAGAACAGAAGAAGAGGGTTTCACTAGCAAACAATGGGATACATATAGCAAACCCTAAAAAGGCTGTACTCACTAAAGAGTACCCCACTGCACACTAGAGAAATATAACATTCTGACAGGAAGGAATCTCAAAACCTACGCGAGGACCTGAACCTCAGTTATGGTTGTACACATGTATTGCCAGTGGCACTGTAACGAGCACGATTCCTTTTTCTGGGCTGGATATATGTATATATAAACGACACAAACAGAACTGGCTTAAAACTCAATTCACAATCTCCTGTCATACACCAAGAAAAAACATAGCCAATCAAAAAAGAAGGATAAGATAGACTTTTACGTTAAAAGATCAGGAGAATGTGAAAAATGTTTTAATGCTCCAGCAAGACAGGCCAAATCCCTGTCCAGCCGTGCCTCACTCCCAAGGCCACCTGGCAACCGCGTCACCCCCAAGGCCAGTCGGGACCGATGTCATCGAAGTCGGTATCGTCGTCAGCGCCGTGGCATTATTAGCAGAAACGTTACCGGCAAAACCACGACCAGCAAAACCACCGGCAAATGCATTGCCGGGGAAAACGTTTCTCCCAGATCCAGCAGCTACCATCACAACCCTCTCTAACTCCACCACCCGTCGCTCCAATGCATCTACATACCCCACTGCTCTATCCAGCATTGCGCATGTGTCCCCTCGCCCCCGCACCTTCGCCCTCAGCCTCTGCAGCCCCTCACTGATCCTCTCCCTCCTCCGCCGCTCCGCCATGCTCCTGCTCTTGATCCTCTTGTTCGGCACTGAACCTGTCCTTACGCCCTGGCACCGAGGCAACCACTCGTCGTCCGTACCACACTCGTCTTGCATGGTGCCGCGCTCTCGGCCCTTGGGATTATCCAGGGCATCTGAGCCCCACTCAGCCTGTTGCCCCATTCGTCTTGCAGGTACCGCTTCCCCTAAGTCTTCATCAGACTGCCACTGACCCATGCCATCCATTTCCTCCATGCCTCGCATGCCATCTCGCATGCCCTCTCGCATGACTTCTGTGCCTTCTTCCCCACCCTCTTGCCCACTGCTGCTGGTTGCCGGACCGCCAGCCGAGCCTGCACCACCCATGCCGGTGCCTGCCGAGCCTGAGCGCGCCGAGCCTTCACCGGCCGTGCCTGTGCCCGCCGAGCCTGCGCTGCCTCGAGAGCGCTGATTTCTGGCCTCCGGTGACAGAGGCTGTGACGCTTGCTCACACCTCTGCTGCTGCTGCTGCTGCTGCTGCAGTGGCTGTTGCTGCTGCAGCCGCTGCTGCTGGAGCAGGAGGTGCATGTGCTGCCCTGCTGCCACCGCCATGCTGCCGTGAAGAGGAGACAAAGTAGGGTGTGCCGGTGCTGCCCCCACTGCCGCTGCCCCCACCGGAGCTGAGTCTGCATCCTTTAAGAGCATGCCATCCAGCACACCACTCTGGTTCGCATGGTCAAGCACGCTGCGGCTGTAGCAGCCGGCGGGGGTCTGCATGCCGTGTTGCCACTGGGGAGCGGCTGTAGCGCCGTCATCCAGGGCGTCAGGGCTTCTTCTCTTCCTCCCAACGTTGCCAGCATTCGTTGTCCCAACGTTCACAGCAGCTCCACCGCTGAAAACGCCACTGTTGATGCCACGCATTGCGTTAAGACGAATCTCATTACTTAGAGCACTGGTGAGGCTCTTGTCAACACCACGCAGTGAAAAATAGACTTCATTCCCAACACCACGCAGTGAAAAATCCGGGTCAGTCCGAACACCATTGCCAATACCACTGGCGATACCGCTGCCACCACCACTGCTGCCACCGCCGCCGCTCCTCTCCCCTCCCCGCCCGTCCATGCGTCCCATTACACCTACATCGTGGAGGTCAGGACTTGCTCCCGCGAGAAAAGGCGAGCTAGCTAAGAGCCGGTGCTCCACATTCCTTCCTTCCTGCTCCTGCTGCTCAGGCTGCTGCTGCTGCTGCTTCTCCTGTTGCTGCACTTGCGGCGACTGAGGGTTTCCTGACAACCCTTGACCTCCCATCGCCCTCTGCCGCCTCTGCCGCTTCCGTGCGTTCTGCCTCGGCTTCTGCTGCCTCTGTTGCTGCGCTTCCTGCGCCTGCTGCTCCTCCACCTGCTTCAGCGCCAGCAGGAGAGCTAACAGCTGCCGCCTCTCGGCCTCGCTGCCTGCTCCCATCTGTAGAGTCGCCATCACACGGCTTGACAGCACCGCCTGCTCTCTCCTCGCCTCCTCCCTCCTTGCCTCTGCGGCTGCTGCTGCTACAGCTGCTGCTGCGACTGCAGCTGCTACTGCTACTGACTTCTGAGTCGCCTCAAGAGACACCTCCTCTCTCCTTGCCTTGGCTGCTGCTGCAGCCACTTGCAGCGGCGGTGTGCGAGCTGCAGGCGCCGGGACTCGCTCGTTGGGGACGGGAATAACGGCCGCGGAGTTCATCAGTGTGAAGTGCTCATTCTCTTGCTCCTGGTTGGTATGACTCGGGTTCTGGTTCTGGTTCTGGTTCTGGTTCTGGTTCTGGTTCTGGTTCTGGTTCTCATAGCTTCCATCATCCTCAGGTAGGCCGCTGCTGCTGCTGCTGCTGCCCACTGCGTTTCCACCGTTCCAGTGCTGCAGCGCTTCTTGCTGCTCCTCTGCTTGCTGCTGCCACGCCGCCTGCTGCTGCGCTGCTTCCTGCTGTCGCAGCGAGCATGCGAGCTTAGCAAGGCCAACCAACATGCGCTCTAGCTGCACCTCCCCGCCCGCCGCTCCTCGCATCATAGCAGCAGCAGCAGCAGCTTCAGAAGCTGGCCCTGTCAGCCCTGTCAGCACTCCCAGCCCAACTTCCGCGGCCGCTTCACCAGCCACCTCCTCGCCGCCCACAGCGGTCATCTGAGGCTTGGCAAGAGGCTCGTTTAGCGGTTCGGAGCGAGGTTCGGCGTGTAGCGCAAATCCCTCCTCGGGAAAGCCGCGGGGGCCGATTGGGGACCAGCCGAACCGGCCTTTATGCTCCGAGTCGGGGAGAGGACTCTGAGAAACCGGCGCAGCCGGCGGCGGCGGGAGAGTGGCATGCAGCGATGCGAGCGGCGAAGGGAGGTCGTCCAATGAGAAGAGAGCAGCGGCGAGGGACTCTGACGTCCCTCCGTCCGGTGCGGCGATGGTCGCGCTGCTGTTAGTTGGCAGGGTAGTAGAAGTGCTGTGACTCGCCATGATCATAGGTTGGATAGCTGGCGGGTAGGAGGCTAGTACAACTTGTTTTGCAGTAACAAACGGCTTCAGGCGGCTCACAAAGCTGTGAGCTCAGCCGGGGGTTGCTCGTAGCAGAGTTGGAGTGAGCGGCGAGAAGTTGGGCCAGACACGTGGTCACCACGTGTATCAGTGGTGATAGCTTGTGGTAAGCTGTCGTGGTTGTGATGAGCCTATTTTCTACTTCTGCGGAGGGGTTTGTGAAGACTCGGAGTCGGAGCTTCTGGATGGCGTTAATATGGCGTTGTGAGACGTCTAAGTTAAGACTCAGCTGTGTCCGGCGGGCCGCGGATGATGGGCTGTGACGAGTGTTGGATGGCGTTGGATTGGTGGGCCGCGGGCGGGCGACAATGTAACGCGACACGTCAAGAGTTAAGACTTGAAAAAGTCAGCAGACGTGATTGCAAATTATCGATTCAGACAAGTAGCTTCTTGAATGATGAGGGAGATAGCTGGGGATTCGTTAACAATGGAGGAGGATTGGAGGAGGATTCGTTGACGATGGAGGCCCTTGGAAATGTGGATCTGGTGAAGAAAGAAACCCTTCGCTTGAGAAATAGTAATCAGAGGAGCGTTACTACTAGAGCTCGACTGATCTGATTCGGAACGATCGCGCGAAAAACCAGCCCACTCGCGGCGCCGACATGAGCTGGAGGAGAGAGAGAGTGAGTGGGAGCTGAGAGTGAGGAGGAGCGCGGGAAAGGCGTATGCATGGAAAGTGAGAGTCGGGGGGCCGAATCAAATTGTTACGAGAGGCGGACAGCACGACTTGGTCGTAACACAGCGCGTTGCTGTTATCGCGGCGCCATCCGGCCATCGTGTAGCACTTCCGGCGGCTCACACAGGCAGAGCAAGTGCCATCGGGCTGTGCTGTGACGGACAGTGGTTGTTTTTGACGGCAGTCAACCGCCATCGCGAGGGAGCCACACAAGGCGTACGATCACATGATGTCGTGGCCCCCACTCTCCCACCCATCTCGTCGCATCCAGTCTGTAGTGTACTACCTAGCAAGGCAAGTCGCATTACAGGTACTACAGTCTGACATCCCGACGATACGGATAGCTGGATGCTGCACCGACAGAATGAGATCCGGATCTAGTTTCTACGTGCGCTGGCAACGGTCAACGGCTCGCCTTGTATGATGCAACGAGCTGGATGATTGAGCTGGAAGCTTGTAGGCCAAGCAGTGAGCTGGAAACCATGAGCTGCGGTGCGGGAAGCTGTTCTGGAAGATCCAAAAGGAAGCTACACCAGAAGTCCGTGAGTGAGAGCCTAGGCAGCACCTATAATCAAGGTTCTGGGTGGGTCCCAGGAGGAAGATACGTGTACAGTACCACACCCAGTTTCTATTTGAAGTTAGGGTATGGTTCTAGGACATGGACGCATTCTAGGGTTTGTTTGAAGGGGATCCTGATGAGATCTGGTGGGAAAGAATTCGTAGAAACAAGTGGTCCCTCAGTCACAATTATCCGTGCCGTATTTCCCAACCACGTCTCCTTGCATACTTCTTTTTGGGAAAACGCGTCTTGGTCTGATGGGCTGGTAACTGGAGCCGCGCCACCGCAAATTTCGAAACATCAAAGCACAACCAGAGTGGAAGCTCACTTCCCCACAAAACCCCACCACACAGACCCAGTCTATATGAGCCTTCCTTCGATCCTTCTGACTGAATAACGCGATTTTTAAAGCACACAGCAAGCAAAAGCGCGTTGTTGTGAGTTACGCAGCAGGGGATACTGAGGTGAGGTTGTACGCGTTCTGACCGACTTTCTTCAAACCCACGGACTGGGGTGGGGTGTCACTGCAAGAAATGCTCACTCACTCGTCCTTGTCCGCTGTACGGAGCAGAAAAATGGCGATCGCTAGCGAAGCTGCAGACTTTTCGCGAAAGTACTGCAGTCGGATGGTGGGCGACCCTTGGCGAAACTGGTCTCTCGTTCGAGATCATTGCGAGTGTAGGTGAGGCGTTTCAAAATGCATGTGCTTGCGCACGTGAATTTGTGGAGTTCGTTATTATCAACAAAATCCTCCATTGAAGGACCAGGGGACAGTTGAACGCGATTGTGTACTGTCGTGCCTTGTCTTGTGCGGTATTTCATCCGAAAATCGGTTCCAAATCCTTCGAAGATCTAGACAGCAAATCTTATATTAGCTGGTATAACGCCTCAAAGGGAACTAGTACACTTCATGTGATATGCTTGGTAACCGCGTACTTTCATTGTAATAAAAGAGTACACACAACCTGCAAAAGGAATGGCAATACAGTAGAACAAGGCAGTTTATTAGGTTCACACGGTGTTTCAGATTTCCAATAAAATTTTATGGATGTTTATCTCCGTTCCATGTTGAAGCCTTTGTTTTTTCAAATCAAATGATTTGCTTCCAGGTTAAAGCTGTAAAGCTGCGGCCTACATACTCCGAGCGGGAGGGCTGAGATTATCACTTGAAAACAGGGTGACCAGTTTTTGGACTCGGCCCCCTTTCCTGCAAAGTTAACGGTTGAGAGGGGTGGAGAGAGGGGGTTGGGGTTCTTTCTGCACGAAACCGAACTCCCCAGGTTGTTTCCCTCCCTTCCGCAGACCCTCCTCCAAACCACCCATCAGCACGAAATTGGGCTGGATTCGCATTTCCTGTCTGAGTTCGTCTGCTGCGGTGTTTCTGAAACATGCTGACTTCGTTCTCCAATCAGGCCGCACGAAAGGGTTGGCATAAAAAATACACCCAAAAAACACCACTTAGTATGTAGACCGCAGCTTTAAGGAACGACTACCGTAAAAGAACAAATTCACAGGTGATAGACCATGTCAATTACAAACAGAAGGTTGAGCACCTGCGATGGGCAAATATGCATTCACTCGGCGCATTGCTCCACTCCACACCACAAATTAGAAAACTGGCAAACCCATATGCAGAGAGATCTGGGGTTGATAAGGTAACTAGAAGATCCTAAAGATCTTTCTCAGCCCAACAGGGGTGAAGGATGGGAAAGGGGAGTGTGGGGGATCACAGTAGGAGAAACATGCACAAACCAAAGAATAAGGGGAAAAAAAGAAAGAAGAAAATCTGCAAGCAGCCACACTTCACACAGCCCATGCTCATAGACAGGGAAAAGGGTCCTCATCAAGCAAAAGGGACAAGCATCAACACCTCTCACTCCCTTACCCGCTCACTCCCTCCCCCTCTTCCGTCCAATGCTCAACTGCCGCGCCTTCTCCGCCAGATCTGTCCAGAACCCATCCCCTCCATGCCCTGACCCCCCAACTGGAACACCTGGGACCATCACCAAGCCAGGAGTCTCATTTACCCCATGTCGTGCCTTGTGTGGACCATGATCCCTTTCATCCTTGCGCCCGCTCCGCTCCCCATTCCTGCCCTCGTTGCCGGCTCCCCCTCCTCGCAGCACCCCCACCCATCCGCGCCTCTTCAGCCTCTCGTACTTGCGAGCAACGCAAGGCAGCAGGCTCGGAATCACGTTCGGCAGCGCCTGGCCTGCGGCATGGATGGTGTTCCGAGGCGCATCAAGTAATGCCGTACCTGCCTTGTGCAGTGTGCCGCCCGCTTTTAACATCTGGCTGTCAATCTGGGACCTCCCCTCCTGGACCTTCTCTAGCCAGCCCTGTGCTGCTTCCAAGAAGCTTCCACAATCCCGAAAGTCACCCCCACCACCAGCAACACCGGCGTCACCGGCAGCAGAAACACATGCATTTGAGCCTGGCTTGCTAAGGCTGCTCACTCCATCCCACTCTCGCTCAAAGCCACCTTGAGGCTTCTTCCGCCGCTGCTGCTCTTTCTGGTCATCCCACTCTCCCTTGGGCTTGCTGATGTTCAACCGCGGCAGCGGAGTGATCCCCACATCATCATCACCACCAGCTGCAGCAGCAGCCGCAGCAACATGAGCATGGGCAGAGTCAACCGGGCGCACGGAGAGGTCTCTGAGAACAGCAGCCAGCAGCGGATCATCCACATGCACTCCAAACCCCCCTCCTGCCCTCTCCCCCTTCCCCTCTTCTCTCTCTTCCCCCCTGTCCTCTCTCTCCTCCCTTTTCCCCTCCCCTCCCTCCTCCCCTATCTCCTCCCCTCTCTCCTCCCCTCCTGCCTCCCCTCCCTCCCCAGCATCCACCACCCCTACCTCTTCCCACTGCCCCTGCAGCAGCTGCAGCTCTCGCATCCTCACTCGCTCAAGCTCCTCTCCTCTCGCATTCACTCTCGCCAGTTCCTCTTCTCTCACGCGCACCTCCTCCCTCAGCCGCTCCAGCACTGCAGCAGCATATGCCCCCGCCTGCCCTGCCCCCCACGCTGCCCCATTCCTCCCTGCCTTCTCCTCGCTTCCTCCTCTGCTCACCCCACCTGCCCCGTCTGGTTGCCCCTTGAGTCGCCTCATTTCCCCCTGCAAGAACGCAAGGAGACCCCCGCCCCGCTCCTGCACCCCTTCCCCCTCGCTCTTCCCTACACCCTCCCCTGAACCACCACTGATGCCCCACACACCACCCTCCTCTTCCCTCCCTTCCTCTTCCTCGTCTGAGTCTTCTTCTTCTTCCTCCGCCTCCACCTCCCCAACGCTCCCATAACCATCCTCCTCATCCAATCCCCTCAATCCAAACGACCCGTCTCCCTCCCCCCAATCCCCCTCCGCTGCCCACAGCCTCTCGCTCAATCCCCACGCCCCAATTTCCTTCTCTTTCTCCTCCTCCCTCGCTCTCTCACTCTCCCTCTCCCTTTCCCGCTCCCGCTCCCTCTCCTCCTCCCTCCAGGCAACAGCAGTCTCAGCACCCGGCCTCGGCAGTGCTCCCAACACCCCTCGCCTCACCACCCCCCAATGCCCACCCCCCTTCTCCCTCCTTGCTGACGTAGCAGCGGCAATCCCAAGGGAGACACCGACAAGACCGCCCAGGCTGAGAGTCATGGGGTGGAGGAGGAAGGAGGAGAGGCGGGCCACCCTCCCCACCACCACCTCTATGGCTTTAGCACCGCCAGTCGCCACACGAGTCAACGCCCGAACCTGGTTGATCGGCTGGAGCGCCCAGCTCTGGTTCGGCTGGTTCCGGGCCTGCTGTCCGGCCTGCTGGTCAGGCTGCGAGTCAGGTTCGGCAGCCAGGTTCGGCACAGCTTGGTCTGGTAGAGGTTGGCGTGAGTGTATCGGAGAGGCTTCTAGCGGGGGGACGGGAGGGGAGGGAAGAGAGTCAGGTGGGGACTGGGGAAGGGAATCGGCTGAAGAGGGGTGAGCCAAAGAGGTGAGACCCGTGGAGGGCTCATCTGAGGGCGGTTGAACTGAGGGGAGCTGGCTTGGAGAGGTATGTGCAGGCTCGACCAGTGGTGCTGCGGCTGCAGCGATGGAATCAGGAGACGCGTGGGCAGCAGAGGAGTCAGCCGCGACAGTGGCAGCGGCGGCAGCAAGAGAGGCGTCAGCACCTGCAGGAAGAGAGGCGTCAGCAGTGGCAGCACAGGGGGGGTCGATGGGAGCAGGTGCAGCAGGGACGTCATTTGCGGAAGCAGCAGTAACTGCAGATACAACAACAGCGGGGGAGTCAGCAACAGTACCAGCAGCAGTTACGTCAGCGGTGTCAGCAGTGTCAGCGGTGTGAGCAGCGTGAGCGTTAGAATTGTCAACGGCAGAGATAACAGTGGCAGAAACAGAGTCAGCGGAGGTAGCCTCAGTCGTGGCCTCAGTCGTTGTGACAGCAGCACAGTCATCCGCCTTAGCAGCAGCACCAGAACCGCTGCTCTCTAACGCTGTGCCAGCAGCACCAGGCGAACTCGCAGCAGCAGAGTCGTTAGATCTAACAGAATCAACAGAGTCAGGAGAATCAGTAGAATCAGGTGCATGAGGGTCAGCGGACACAGCAGAACTGGCAGCAGTGGCGCCAGATAAGTTAGCATCAGTCAGGTCAGCAGTCGCTGCAGCTCCATCACTCACATCACCACCGACATCACCACCACCAACAGCAGCAGCAGTAACAGCAGCAGTAACTGCAGCAGCATCGTCAGTAGCAGAAACAGCGGAAGGCAAAAGTACAGTGTCAGCAGGTGCAGCAGCATCTTCATGAGGCAATGTGTTACACTTCTCACCACCCTCGCCCCCCTCCCCACCCCGCAGAGCACCAGTTGCACGTTCCTGAGGCGCTTCAAACTTGGCTTGATCAGTGACAGCATCTCCCTCACCCGCACTCTCACCTTCTCCCTCCGCCTCCTCTCCCTTACCCTCCTTCCCCGTATACCCCTCACCTTCCCCCTCACTCCCTTCTTCGCTCTCGCCCTCACTCTCTTCCTCACTCTCTTCCTCGCTCTCAGACTCTTGCCCGAATATTTTTCTCCTGACCGGCGGCCTGCCCACCGCCCAGTCATTCTGCCCGACCTGCCCGCTCGTGGGGCTGTCCCCGTCCGAGTCTTCCCCCTCCGCCACCGCCCCTCCCCCCATCACTGCGACTTCGGGGTGTTGGTAATAAGTCGGAAGTTGCATGGAAGCTTCCTTTGAGGGGGAAGGGGAAAGCGCGGAAGCGGAGAAGGGGGAGGGGGAAGGGGAAAGCGCGGAAGCGGAGAAAGGGGAGGGGGAGGGGGAGAAGGGATGCGCGGAGGAGTACGGCGCAGCGGCGGGGCCTTGCGCGGGAGTGAGGGGTTGGGGAAGGAGGGAGGAGGGGGAGGAGGAAGGGGAGGGCGCGTGGGCAGGGAGCAAGGCCGGGATGGGGGCGGCGGATAGAGGGGAGAAGGCGGAGGAAGAAAATAACTTATGCTGCGGGGCGGAAGGGAAGGGGGCAAGGGCGGAAGGGAGGGGGGAAAGGGCGGAAGGGAAGGGGAAGGGCTCCAAGTCGACGTCTTCCGCCAACTGCTGAATGCGCGCAACCACCTCCGCCTCGCGCCCCTGGTGGCACCGCCCCTGCGACGCCACTATGCGCGCCGCCATCTTTAACTCCGTCACCATCTGCGCCCACTGCGCCGCCGCCTCCGCCTCCGCCTCGCGCTCCCCCTCCGCGGAACCCGCCGCGGCTCCTGCCGCCGCGGCCGCTCTGGCAGCCGCAGCGGCCGCGAGGGCGGCTGCGTGGACTCCCCGCATCCCGGATTTCCCCGCGCTCGCTCTGCGCCCCTGCCGCTGCGGCGCGCGCAGATGGTTGATTTGCTGCTGTGTCTTTTGTTGTTTCACCTGAAGTTTCTCCTGAAGCGTCTCCTCGCACTGTAGCAGCTGGTCCAGGTGCCACTCCAGCATCTCCAGCGCGTCGCGAAGCGCAATCAGCATCCGCGCCTCGGCGCTTCCCTGCCCGGATTGAATCTTTTCGTCCTGCCCGGCCTTCCGGGCAGACTCGACATGTTTTTCATAGGCACGTTGGTAGGAAGAGGAGGGGGAGCTTGTGTTGCTCCCAGACCCGCTAGACTTATCCCCGCTACTAGAGTTTTTGGTGGGCGTGTCCTGTTGCGACAGGCTGCTCAGAGAAATGGGAGAGTAGAGTGCGTAGAGCAGACAAGAATAAGGAAACGAGAGAAACATGTGTAAGGAACAGGAAGACTGGTGAAGAGTTTTGAGAAGTCTCAAAACTCAGTGTGTAGAGCAGACAATGATAAGCAATAGAAACATGTGTAAGGAACAGGGAGACTGGTGAAGAGACAATGGCAACTACAAGGTTGCTGGGGGAATGGCTGGAAATAATGACGGAAACTGCAAGGGGGCGCATTGAATGAGATATCGGAATAATCACAGGACGGGTGTAGGAGCTAAAATTATTGGCACGTGTAACTCGATGCATATGAAACGAAATAAGTGAACAAATGATAGAACCTTATTTGGACCGAATAACATAAATTTTGCAACTAAAAAGGATTGCTAAACTGAGTAAATTTCAGGGAGACGACGCGTCTTTTCCATACCGAGAAGCCACCAGCGGGCCAGAGGGGGAAGACTCCGCAGAAGCGCAATCCGCGGCGGCGGCGGTGGCGGCGGCGACGGTACCGGCAGTGGAGGTCGATAGGAAGAAGTCGCACTGGAGGCTGCGCTCGATCGCGTCGCTCACTTCTTCGTGTAGCTCGCCGACGCGATTTAGTAACGCGGGTAACGAAGGGGATTGTAACGAAGCAGCTGCCATGATCAATGGCGAAAATTATTTCTACGAATGTTGAGGTAAATCAGCGCAAGTGACGGTCCTACAGGGTCTCGCTACTAGGCGGCTAAGTATTCTAACGCCAGTTGGCTAGAGAGAGAATGTCCATAAATAAGTAACAGTTGTCGTGCCAGAATCGAACAGTGGAACACCTATTTCGCCCCTACTGCGACCAGGATTCTTCTGCACCTGTCCCCCTGCGCTGCAGAGACAGCTCTCCTCCCGCACGCGCTGCTTGACTGTTCAGGGAGTGGGCGGAACCAACCGCAAACAGGAGGATGTGGGGGGAGGGAGGTTTGTGAAACGAAAAAACCTTGGAATTGGCTCCTGTATGCTGGGCACGGCTCTGCTGGATGGAAAGCGGGACAGTGAGTTTTAGTACGGTGAAAAGTTGCAAATTTTTAATCCGTTCTTGTTCTTGGCCCTTGACACAGCGCAATTGGCTCACGTGATATCCCCGAGCGCGCAACAAAGCGTAGCTGCGCCTGCATTTGTGGAACAGGAAGCATGCTAGAGGCGGGGCGAGCATGTTCATCTTGTAGCATGTTCTTATATCGAGGTTGTAAAGGACTGTCTAGCGCTGCCACTGCGTCTCGCGCGATAAGACCCCAGCTTTACTAACGAGGATTACGTGTGGTGATCACATTAGAAAGACGCATTCATTGGACTTGTACAACAAAATGCGAAGCTATTGAATCTTAGAATAATTGATAAATATTGTTGAAGAATGCTCTGAACGACTGTACTGCTGGAAATTCTCCTCACAAGCTTACTTGCTGGCCGTAACTTTACGACACTGAGCGAATCTAGTAACCCTAGCACATTGGTTCTCGCGTGCGCAAAAGGCCCCTCTTTCCACCCCAGCCAGCCCAAATTTCGCAAGTGCTCTGCTCTGGTTGAACTCTAGTGCGTGCTCCCTGAGCAGAGCGATCGCAGGAATCTGCTTACTGTGTGTCGCAATCGTCGCCGTCTGTCGCCATTGACCGCTTGAAATCTCGCATCCCGCGAGTGTTTATGTCACTAATCGCCACCATCCCCGTCGCGCGCTCTTCGGCAGGCCCATTCGCCCCGCGCATTTCCCCTCCCTTCCGCGTTCGCCTCCGCAATCCCCCGCTCAATCCCACTTTCCGCCTTTCCCTCTCCGCCCGTATAACTTTCCGAGCGTGGCAGCCCTTTCCCCGTATCCCTCCCGCCTCCGCCGCCTGTCGCGTGGGCGCAATCCGCAATTCCCCACCCGCCCCTTTTGGCGCATTCCGCTCGTGGCGGATCCGCCTCTCCGCAACCGCGGAAGCAGGAGGCGCAGCGGAAGCGGAAAGCGCGCCTGGAGCACTCGCGTTACCAGCGGAGGAAATTCAGGAGAGGCGTAGGGAAGCTGCGGGAGAGGAGGGAGAGGGTACAGGGTTCCGGGGAGAGGGGACTGGAAAGGACGAAGAAGAAAGAGGAAACGGGAAAGAGAGTGCGGAGAGGGTAAGTGGAGAAGAGGAAGGTGGAGAGGAGGAGTGCGGAGAGGAGGAGTGCGGAGAGGAGGGCGGAGAGGAGGAGGGCGGAGAGGAGGGTGGAGAAGGGGAGGACGGAGAGGATTGGGTGCGAATGGCGGCGACAGAGGAGTCAGTGGGCATATGCTGCTACGCCAACGACCTGCCCGGCATTCACGGCGTGCTCAAGCAAAGGTGAGGCGGGGGTGTGCTGGGACGGCGGGGAGGAGGGAGAGGTGATGGCACAGCAACAGAAGAGTCAGTGGGCATATGCTGCTATGCCAACGACCTGCCCGGCATTCACGGCGTGCTCAAACAGAGGTGAGGCGGGGGTGTGGTGGGGGTGGGCAGGGCGGGGAGGAGGGCGAGGTAAGGCGGGGGTGTGGTGGGGGTGGGCAGGGCGGGGAGGAGGGCGAAGTGATGGCGGCGACAGAGGAGTCAGTCGGCATATGCTGCTATGCCAACGACCTGCCCGGCATTCACGGCGTGCTCAAACAGAGGTGAGGCGAGGGTGTGGTGGGGGTGGGCGGAGAGGAGGGCGAGGTGATGGCGGAGACAGAGGAGGCAGTGGGCATATGCTGCTATGCCAACGATCTTCCCGGCATTCATGGCGTGCTCAAACAGAGGTGAGGCGGAGGCATGCTGGGCCGGGCGCTTCCGCAGCAGCTGCAGCCCTCTTGATCCCCTCTTGAAGCCTCGCAAATCCCGATGAATTCGGTTACCCATGGTCCGTGTGACCATATGTAACACGGTCAAACACACACGGTCACCCCCATGGATTTTGTTACACAGCCCGTGTGACCAAGTGTGACCACGTGTGACCAAGTGTGACCAAGTGTGACCAAGTGTGACCACGTGTGACCAAGTGTGACCAAGTGTGACCACGAGTGACCAAGTGTGACCAAGTGTGACCACGAGTGACCACGAGTGACCAAGTGCCTGCCATGCCCACCCAGGTCGCAGACTTTATAGTGAATGAAGTCGCGCCAGACGCATGGTGGTGCGTCTCACCCACGCACGTGCCGCCCGCGCTGTTGGCGCATTGCAACACCACAGCCACTCCCATCTGCTCCCTCCCTCCCCATTTCCCCCAACAGATTCGCGGACTTCATAGTGAACGAGGTCGCACCGGACGGCACAGTGGTGCATCTGACGCACCTGCACGTGCCCCCCGCACTTCTAGTGCAGGAGCAGCAGGCGCAGCAGCAGGCGCGCAGGCGCGAGGCGGAGAGCCTGGGGGAGCTGGTGGACGCGCAGGGGGTGCTGGCGCAGCTGCGCCAGGCGCTGGGGGGGAGCGGGGAAGGGGAAGGGGGAGGGGGAGGGGGGTTGCGCGATGAGGACGATGCGAGGAAGCTGCTTCAGCTGCTGGAAGGGATTAAAGGCATTCAGCTTTGGTGGAAAGAGAAGAAGAGGGCAGGCGAGGAGGGAGAGAAGGAGGGGGGAGAGGAGGGTGCTGGGGGAGAAAGGGCGGAGGGAAGCGTGCAAGGGGGGGAGGTGGGGAAGATGGGGGAGGTGGGGGAGGCGGGGGGAGGGGCTCCTCCGCCTATGCCTGAGCCGGTGGTGTTCGCTGCCAGTGCTGACAAGGCGTACCGTGCTGTGAGTGGCTGACGTGACTGGAAGGGATCGGGGCGTTTCAAGCCATGACACGCCATGACACGCCATAGCTACAGTTGTATGCACGGCCATGACACGCCATGACACGCCATAGCTACAGTTGTATGCACGGCCATGACACGCCATGACACGCCATAGCTACAGTTGTATGCACGGCCATGACACGCCATGACACGCATAGCTACAGTTGTATGCACGGCCATGACACGCCATGACACGCCATAGCTACAGTTGTATGCACGGCCATGACACGCCATGACACGCCATAGCTACAGTTGTATGCACGGCCATGACACGCCATGACACGCCATAGCTACAGTTGTATGCACGGCCATGACACGCCATAGCTACAGTTGTATGCACGGCCATGACACGCCATGACACGCCATAGCTACAGTTGTATGCACGGCCATGACACGCCATGACACGCCATAGCTACAGTTGTATGCACGGCCATGACACGCCATGACACGCCATAGCTACAGTTGTATGCACGGCCATGACACGCCATAGCTACAGTTGTATGCACGGCCATGACACGCCATGACACGCCATAGCTACAGTTGTATGCACGGCCATGACACGCCATGACACGCCATAGCTACAGTTGTATGCACGGCCATGACACGCCATGACACGCCATAGCTACAGTTGTATGCACGGCCATGACACGCCATGACACGCCATAGCTACAGTTGTATGCACGGCCATGACACTCCATGACACGCCATAGCTACAGTTGTATGCACGGCCATGACACGCCATGACACGCCATAGCTACAGTTGTATGCACGGCCATGACACGCCATGACACGCCATAGCTACAGTTGTATGCACGGCCATGACACTCCATGACACGCCATAGCTACAGTTGTATGCACGGCCATGACACGCCATAGCTACAGTTGTATGCACGGCCATGACACTCCATGACACGCCATAGCTACAGTTGTATGCACGGCCCTGACTGCCACGCACCCCTTCCCCGTTTCTCCGCCTTCCCTCACCTTACCCCCACTCTCTGTCCCTCTGACAATCTTCCTTTTCCAACACCTCTTCCCTCTGGACCTTCCCCCACCACCAGACCATGCACGCGTTTATCAAGTCATACCCTTTCCTTGTATCCGACACTATCGACGCCCCTCAAGGCCCCCCGTACCGCTGTGTGCGCCTGCGCTTCCTCCCCCCGCCCGCCCTCAACCTCAAGGGCGCAGGGGGGCGCGCAGGGGAGCGGGGAGGTCGGGGGGATGGGGGGCAGAGGGGCGGGGACGGGAGGGGGTGGCGGGAGGGGCGCTGGGGGGGAAAGAGAGGGGGGAGGGGCGGGAAATGGGGGAAGCGGGGGAGGGAGGAGTGGGAGGGTGGGGATAGGAAGAGAGGGAAGAGGGATGGTGGTGATGGCGATGGGGAGGATAGGGGGGAAGGGGGGGATGGCGGAGAGGGGGAGGGGCAGGGGGGGGAGCAGGGGGAGGAGGAGCAGCCGGCGTTTGACAGTCGGGGGAGGAAGGGCGCTGATGGGGTGCCTGCTACCACTGCGCGCCGCTTCCTCATGTGCGTGCCTGGCATAGGGGAGAACAGCAGTATGTGTGGGGCTGGATTGGCATGGCCTGCTGCATGGATACACTACACACACATGCACACGCACGAGTGCACCAGTCCCTTCCCTTGACCTCCCCCATCCCCTTTTCCCCGACCCCACCAGGTTCCACGTGTTGAAGGAGAACAAGGACACCAACGAGGCCATGGCGCTCGTGGGGCGCTACCTGGGCGTACAGCCGCGGGCGCTGGGCTTCTCAGGCACCAAGGACAAGCGCGCAGTTACCGTGCAGCGGGTGGGTGAGTGGGTGCAGAGCGGTTGTGGGGAGTTGAGGGAGTTGTCACAGCCATGGTCATAGGCGCTACCTGGGCGTGCAATCCAGGGCGCTGGGCTTCTCAGGCACCAAGGACAAGCGCGCCGGCACCGTGCAGCGGGTGGGTGCAGAGCGGTTGTAGGGAGTGCATGGCAGTACTCACAGTGAGGGCCATATGCGCTACCTGGGCGTGCAGAGCAGGGCTCATGGCTTCTCGGGCACCAAGGACAAGAGGGCTGTCACCTCACCGTGCAGCGGGTGGGTGGGTGCGGGGGGGAGTGCAGCGGGCGGGTTCTTGAGACGGGTGCTTGCAGTAAAGTGACATATCCAATGTGACGGGTCAAAGCTTCATACCCTTGTCATAATAACCCGCACTCCTCCCCTAACCTCCAGGTGACAGTGAGCAACCAGTCGGCGCGCAAGGTGGCATCACTCAACGCCAAGCTGTTTGGCATCCTCCCATGTGCCACACCACCCACCCACCACCACCTTGCATCACACCACCCAACTCCCATACACCAACCCCTACCGCACCACCCACACTTCACCAGGTGACAGTGAGCAACCAGTCAGCACGCAAGGTTGCATCACTCAACGCCAAGCTGTTTGGCATCCGAGTGGGCGACTACCGCCTCGTGGACCAGCCTCTTGTGTTGGGACAGCTAGCAGGCAACCGCTTCATTGTCACTCTCAGGTGCGCCCCTTCCCCCTGCCTCCCCATGATTAGCCTTCTCAACATCCTTCCCACCCTCTCCATGACTACCGCCTTGTGGACCAGCCCCTCGTGCTCGGGCAGCTGGCCGGAAACCGCTTCGTCGTCACTCTCAGGTGGGCAACCCTCTCACCCCTCCTCATCAAGACTACTGCCTTGTGAACCAGCCCCTCGTGCTGGGGCAGCTAGCGGGCAACCACTTTCTCGTCACACTGAGGTGGGTCTGATGTGCATGGACGGTGTATGAGAACCCTCACCCGTCCCCAACCATGACTACCGCCTTGTGGACCAACCCCTCATGCTGGGGCAGCTGGCGCGTTCCTTATTACCCTCTGGTGGGCGGGGCGGGGCGGAGTGTGCTCCTCTTCCGCTTGCCCTTCCCTTTCCGTCCACCCCCCCCTGCAACCATCCATTCCTTCTTTCCTCCCCGCCCCCACCCGTTCCCCAGGGCCGTGAGAGCGCCCAGTGTAGACGCCATCACAGCAGCGGCGGAGGGCCTTGGCTCTCACGGCATCATCAACTACTTTGGCCTGCAGGTGGGCGCTGCTGCGTGCTGCTTGTTGCTGCTGGGTGCTGTTGGTCTTCGAAAGGCAGCACCAGTGACACGACTCAAACCTCCCATGCTCACGTTGCATCCTCCCATGCTCACGTTGCATCCTCCCATGCTCACGTTGCATCCTCCCATGCTCACGTTGCATCCTCCCATGCTCACGTTGCATCCTCCCATGCTCACGTTGCATCCTCCCTGGGCCTGTATAAGCAGCGCTTTGCATTTCAAGCCTCTCTCAAAAACCACTCTCGCCCTTCCCCTACTTCCCCCCCTTGTCCCCCTGTGAACAGTGGTTTGGCGTGGGGCGGGTGGCGACACACGGTACGAGCAGAGTCCAGCTCACTTCACTCCAAACTTCTCATCCTCCCTCATCCTGACTTCCGTGCCTCACCGCGCTCACCCTTGCCCCCCCTCTCCTGCCACCGCCCCCTGGGAGCAGCGCTTCGGAGTGGGTCCCGTGGCAACGCACACGGTGGGAGCAGCGCTGCTGAGGGGCGACTGGCAGGGCGCTGTGGACCTGCTGCTCAAGCCGCGAGATGGAGATATCCTCTCAGCGCCCGTGCTCCCTCACCCTCACCCCCTCACCTCGCCTTGCCTTGCCTTGCTCGCCCATGCTTTACCTTGATTCTTTGCCCTGCCTTGCCTTGCCTTGGATTGCCTTGCTCCGCTGTGGATTTTCTGCTCAAACCCGGGGATGGACATATCCTCTCATGTCATGCTCTGCTCTGCTCTGCGCTGCTATGATGTGCTGTGCTCTGCCGTGTTGTGTGGTGCAATGCTGTGCGTTGTTCCTTTCATAGAACGCCATGCCTTTCCCAGTCCCCTTTTTTTTCATGAATGTGCCTCTTAAGAGTCAAAACTCTCGCCAAGAACTCCTTACATCATATTGAGTCTGCTTCGTGTGTGTGCTACTAAACGCTGATCTCGACCGTTCATCTCACCACAATCGGAAGGGGCGGCAGAGGCCAGGCGTCTGTGGACGAAGACAAAAGACGCCGACCTTGCAATGATCCACATGCCGACGAGAATGGTGGCCGAACGAGGAGTGGTGAGTCGCACTCGCATCATCCTGCTCTAAGTTCGTTCCTGCTCTCTCGCTCTCACTCCAAACCACTTGTCTCTGTCTCTTCTCCCCCATACACTTTATGATTCAGGGTTTAGGGTTCAGCTCTCTCATACACCTTTCAGCATGCCTCTCATACACCTTTCAGCATGCCTCTCAGCTCCTCTGAATCTCTTCCTCCTACCATCTCCCCACTCGCAACCTCCCCTTCATCATCCTCGCTTCCCTTCTCTGCGTGGCAGCTGTCGGGGCTGAAGCGCAACCCGCGCAATCTGGTGCAAGCACTGGGCTTCATCCCACGCACGATGCGCCTCATGTGAGTCACCTGTGAGGTGTGAGTGCGCCCCTTGTGAGAGTGTGTGTGTGTGAGTGCACCAGGGGATGTGCCTCGTGTGATTCAGCTGCGTGTGGCATGATGACGTGTGAGTGTGCCCCGGTGTGTGTCCCCTCTCTCTCTCATCCGCGCACAGCTGTCAGGTTCGAGACAACTACCATCCCGTTCTTGCTCTTTCCCCCTTCCCTCTTCCTCATGACCATTGCCCAGCTATCAGAGGTACCTGTGGAACCTCTTTTACTCCCCCTCGATTTTCTCTCTTCACGAGTAATCCTGCTTCCTCCACCCCACCCCCACTTCACCATGAACCCTTCTCCTCTTCCCCTCCCTTCCCTCTTTAACATGACCAGGTACGTGCATGACCAGGTACGTGCATGACCAGGTACGTGCCCAGCTATCAGAGCTATCTGTGGAACCTCTTTTACTCCCCCCCTTTCCCCTTCACCATGAAACCCCCATCCTTCACACCCCTCCCCCTTCAATTCAAACATCCCCATGGCAGGTACGTGCACAGCTATCAGAGCTATCTGTGGAACCATGCTGCCTCACACCGCATCAAGACATATGGTGAGACATACCGCTTCACCTGTTTGGTGAGTTTCTTTTGTCACCGGCTCTGCACTTCATGTCACACCCTACCTCTGTCATGCTAGACTCAACCCATCTCACCACCGTCTCATGGCACCACGTGTTGCACGTCCTGTCCTCCCCCCACCACCCACCTTGCTTTCCCTGCAGGCTCCACACGAGTGGTAGCAGGTGACCTTGTGCTCTGCTCCCCTCCTTCTGCCGCTGCTGCTGCTGCTGCCGCCGCTACTGCAGCTGCAGCAGCAGCAGGGAGTGCAGCGGGCGTGGGGACAGAGGTTGCGGGCATGAGGGGCACAGAAGCAGAGGCGGAGGCAGAGGAGGCGGCAGCAGTGGCGGTGGAGGCGAGGGCGGAGGGGGAGGAGGTGAGGGTGGTGAGCGAGGAGGAGGCAGAGCGAGGAGTCTATACCATCAACCAAGTCGTGCTGCCCCTGCCGGGGTGAGTGCGAGTTCTGGCTTCTGATTCTGCGGGGCTGGGTTCGCCTGGCAAAAAGCACAAACGTATGGGCATGGGTTGTAATCCCCATAACCTATGCAGCATTGCAGGTGTGTGTGCTGTGCTTCTGTCTCTCTCACCCATGCGCTGTTGATACACCTATGCATGAGATGTTGAAGATGAACACACATGCGCCTCACCCATCCTCCCTCTCCTCCCTCTCCCGCCCCACCCTCAGCTGTGCCATTGAATACCCCACCAACTCCACTGCACAAGTCTTCCACTCTCTCGCTGCCAAGGTATGCCCCCTCCTGTCACTCTCTCGCTGCCAAGGTATGCCCCCTCCTGTCACTCTCTCGCTGCCAAGGTATGCCCCCTCCTGTCACTCTCTCGCTGCCAAGGTATGCCCCCTCCTGTCACTCTCTCGCTGCCAAGGTATGCCCCCTCCTGTCACTCTCTCGCTGCCAAGGTATGCCCCCTCCTGTCACTCTCTCCTTTTACCCTTCCTCTCCATCCATCTCGCCTTCCACCTTCGCGTCCACCTCGCCTTCTAGCTTGTCCCTATGGTCGCCATGGCTCTGTAGACCACTCTGTACCGTGACAAATCTACCGCTGACCTCTTCCAGTCTTTCGCAGCCAAGGTGTGTTCCTCCCTGCCCGTCTTCCCAGCTGTGGAAAACGCAGGGCACCTGACTACCTTGTATTCTGTTCTCATTGTGTGAATGGTTCATCTTGTCTATTTCTTGAATGCTCATGCCATGCTTCTTCCCACCTCCCATCTTCCCACCCATCTCCCTGCTTCCCCTCTCCCTGCGCCCCTCCGCCACCACAGGACGGCATAGACCTCTTCACCAGCAAGCACAGCGTCAAGTGAGTTGAAAGTCTCATGTAGGCATGTATGCAAGCTAGTGTACAGCCTTGCGTGTGTCACAAGACAGGGTACGTGTGTCTGACGTCGCTCCCTCCGCCACCACAGGACGGCATTGATCTCTTCACCAGCAAGCACAGGGTCAAGGGAGTAGTTGGTCACACATGCATGTGTGAATGCGTCGCATATGCATGAGTTTTGACGCTCATACGCTGCACCGCCCGCTCATATGCTGCCGCGCCCGCTCATACGCTGCACCGCCCGCACCGCAGGCGATTGAGGCAAAGCCAATTCTTTCCTCTCACTCACCCTCTCACCTCACTCACCCTCTCACCTCACTCACCCTCTCACCTCACTCTCTAGCCCTCCCTCACTCTCCCGCCCTTCTCTCATCCCTCTTGCCACCCATGGCGCCATGTCAGGGAGACGAGGGCATCCCAGGGGGCTACAGTCGCTTGAAGCAAAGGCAATTCTTTCTCTCACTCACCCTCTCAACCACCCTCTAACCCTCTCTCATCCCTCCCACCACCCATGGTGCATGACAGGGAATATTCCATCGAGCGCATCCCAGGTGGCTACAGGCGCTTGTTACAGCGCCCCTCCGACTACAACTGGTGAGCCACCTCTCCCTCGCACCCACCCTCTCACTCACCCTCTTGCTTGTTACAGCGCCCCTCCGACTACAACTGGTGAGCCACCTCTCCCTCGCACCCACCCTCTCACTCACCCTCTTGCTTGTTACAGCGCCCCTCCGACTACAACTGGTGAGCCACCTCTCCCTCGCACCCACCCTCTCACTCACCCTCTTGCTTGTTACAGCGCCCCTCCGACTACAACTGGTGAGCCACCTCTCCCTCGCACCCACCCTCTCACTCACCCTCTTGCTTGTTACAGCGCCCCTCCGACTACAACTGGTGAGCCACCTCTCCCTCGCACCCACCCTCTCACTCACCCTCTTGCTTGTTACAGCGCCCCTCCGACTACAACTGGTGAGCCACCTCTCCCTCGCACCCACCCTCTCACTCACCCTCTTGCTTGTTACAGCGCCCCTCCGACTACAACTGGTGAGCCACCTCTCCCTCGCACCCACCCTCTCACTCACCCTCTTGCTTGTTACAGCGCCCCTCCGACTACAACTGGTGAGCCACCTCTCCCTCGCACCCACCCTCTCACTCACCCTCTTGCTTGTTACAGCGCCCCTCCGACTACAACTGGTGAGCCACCTCTCCCTCGCACCCACCCTCTCACTCACCCTCTTGCTTGTTACAGCGCCCCTCCGACTACAACTGGTGAGCCACCTCTCCCTCGCACCCACCCTCTCACTCACCCTCTTGCTTGTTACAGCGCCCCTCCGACTACAACTGGTGAGCCACCTCTCCCTCGCACCCACCCTCTCACTCACCCTCTTGCTTGTTACAGCGCCCCTCCGACTACAACTGGTGAGCCACCTCTCCCTCGCACCCACCCTCTCACTCACCCTCTTGCTTGTTACAGCGCCCCTCCGACTACAACTGGTGAGCCACCTCTCCCTCGCACCCACCCTCTCACTCACCCTCTTGCTTGTTACAGCGCCCCTCCGACTACAACTGGTGAGCCACCTCTCCCTCGCACCCACCCTCTCACTCACCCTCTTGCTTGTTACAGCGCCCCTCCGACTACAACTGGTGAGCCACCTCTCCCTCGCACCCACCCTCTCACTCACCCTCTTGCTTGTTACAGCGCCCCTCCGACTACAACTGGTGAGCCACCTCTCCCTCGCACCCACCCTCTCACTCACCCTCTTGCTTGTTACAGCGCCCCTCCGACTACAACTGGTGAGCCACCTCTCCCTCTCTCCCTCTCACCCTCGCGCTTCTCCCTGAGAGGCCCCCTGTGTCCCAAGAACACAGTTTTTGACTTCCATTGCTCATTCATTTCTGCATAACCTTACTCTCAACCACGTGCCTCAGCCATTTCCCTCACCACACCTCCTCCCCCACATTCCCTCCTGCTCCCACTTCCGTAACTCTTTCCCTCCCTGCGTCCCCCACTCTGTCTCCCCTGTCCTCGCAAATAACCTCACCCTTATTCGCTTCCCCATTTCATTTCCCAATACCCGTCACAGGAGAGTCCTGGCGTACTGGCGCCCCACACAAGTGCTGGCAGAGACTGATTTGGACCGCATCGCTGCTGCTGCCCTCGCAACTCCTGCCCCCACTCCCACTACCTCTGCCACTGCTGCTGCCTCTGCCGCCCCACCTGCTGCCCCATCTGTGGGTCCAGCAGCAGACTCGAACTCAACAGCAGCAGCAGCAGCGGCAGGAGCTGGTGCTGTTTCCACTGATGCCCCTGCTGCTACTGCCAGTGGTGATGCTGCTGCTATGTCTGGCAGTGACGCCCCTGCAGTGGTGGAGGCAGCGCATGTGTACTATGGGTTCAAGCAACCAGGATACAAGGGGGCACTCAAACAGGCACAGAGGGGGGAAGAGAAGGCAGGGGTTACTGCTGGCGGTGCTCCGCTCAGTGGGGTAGAGGCAGCAACAGGAGAAGCAGGGGCAGGAGGGGAAGCAGCAGGGCCAGTGCCGGCAGTGGTGGTGTTGGCTTCGTCAGAGGGAGTGAGGCTGGGCAGAGACGAGCTGGAGCGCCTGGGGATTGGGGAGGGACCCATTGGGGCCCTGGTGGAGGGGGGTGATGGGGAGGAGGGTGGGCCTGAGAGGGGCGAAGCTGAGGCAGGTGCGGCGACAGAGGATGGAGAAAAAGCGGAAGGGGTAGTTGAGAGTGAGATGGAGAACGGGAAAGATGAGGGTGGTGATGAGAAGGAGAAGGTATTGCAGGGCGAACAGGGCGCTGGAGCGGGTAACGGGGAGGGGAAGGGGCAAGCGGCGGGGAGGAGGGGAGAGCGAGGGGTGGAGGGAGCAGCAGAGGAGGGAGTGAGGGTGGCGCTGCAGGTGGAGTTTACTCTGCCTGCCTCGGGATATGCCACCATGGCCATCCGTGAACTGCTTAAATCCTCCACTGCTGTGAGTGCCACCAACCATGTGCCATAATGCACCCTGAGAATTCTCTAAAGGGACTTTTTCCTGCCTCGGGATATGCCACCATGGCCATCCGTGAACTGCTTAAAGCTTCCACTGCTGTGAGTGTGACCAACCGTACACGTCTGATGATGCACAGCGAGCATGATGCCATGTTCCATGATAGTCTGGTGGCCCTGCCTATAAAATGTTTTCTGAACTGCCACAATTGTCGCCCTCCATGTGAAGCATCTGTGGATGTGGTTGAGAGTCTGAAACTCTACATTTTTTTCTTCCTGTCGCTGCTCTTGTGCTTGCTTGCAGGCTGGCGTCCACAAGGTGTTCAACGACAAGGAGGACGGCCGGAGTTGATATCGGATTGGAAGTGTAATCTGGGCAGTGTGTTGCCACTCGACTCGACCTATCCGCCTTTCAAAATACAGCTGAAATTTCTTGTGTTCTAGTATTTCCAATCTGACCATGACTACCGTAAGGAATGCAGACTGCAGTGCACACTGCAGCGAGCGGGTGTCGTAATGCATGCAGTTACACGAGGAAACTGTTATTTTTTTTGTGTAATATTGTGTTTTTGGCTGATAAATTTTTTGAATTGCCCGGATTCTCTGATTATTTGGCGCGCATCGTAACCAATATGGAGGCCTGCCAACAATTATGCATCACTAATCTGTATATTTGGGGCATGCCATCCATTATACACATTGGCACAATATGGCTCAAAATGAGTTATTAATACAGACAATTTATGTTTCATGTTCGGATGGTGGTGGTGAAAGACGATTTGCTGATGGAATATCTAATATATTACTATTAAAGTTATGAGAGGGCTCCTATCCACTCCATTACGATGTGTATTGAGAAAGGGGTGATGGGTGGTCGGCGGGTGTTTGAAACCTTTAAATGAGGACGAAAGCAGCGTCGCACCAAAGGACACAAATTTGAATCCGTCCGTGGTCTGTGTAAGGAAAATTCCTTTTCCTTACTTCGCATCCCTGCTCAACGCGTACATCACTGTAGCACCACAGTCAGCACCGTTACCACTCGCAACCCTCGCATCGACAATCCGCCCGCCACCTTCGCACATCGCACCCCGACCTCACGGCTCGGCGGGTAGCCCGCGCTCCGGGCCTCCACTTCGACACTTTTTCCCAACCTCCGTCTCAGGCCCGTCGCGCGACAACCACAGTCCATTACCGTTACCACTGTAGTTTCGCTATATATTCTTCGCTCATGCCTGCGCTCATTGTACTCTTGCTTCGATAGTGCAATTCTCGTTCGTTCACTCAATTGCACTCGTAACACTTGGTATTCAGAGCCTACGATCTCCTCTCGGACCGCACCCACACCTTCACTTCCCCACTATCTCAATTTTTGGGGGGGGTAGACGTCTCTAAGTGACACAACACCGCCGCTCGTAGTGCTCTCTCGTAAGCACGCACGGCCACGACCGAGGCTCTCGCTGAGCTCGCCCGACACCCCCGCCATGGCCGAATTCACGCTCGCCACATTGACGCAGGAGCAGCTCGACCGTTTGGTGCGCCAACTTGAAGATTTGGCGCTCGAAATTGCGACGCTCACGGCGGAACGTGACTACGCGCGTCAGCAATCAATGATGAACACTCCAGCGCCACCACACGCACCGACAAATGCATTTGCACAATCAGACGAGCCGATCGTCATCTCGTCCGGCACACCAACACAAAACAACAGCGTGGGACAGCGCTCAGGCGCAGCCAGCGATGGCGCCGCCCAGCCGATGCCTGGCATGGGAGGAAACAGGGTCGCACCAAGCCCGCGGGAGCCTCGCGAAGCCCGTCGGCACGTGGAGTTCGCGGCGACAAGTGGCGAACAGGCCATTATGGCACCAATGCCACTCAAGCCGCAACGCCCGCCCTGCTTCGACCCGAGCCATCGTGGAGGTCCGACGGTTCAATCGTGGGTCTTCACGATGAACGTCTTCTTCGACGTGAATTACGTCGAGTCAGACGCAGCGAAGATTCGGTGTGCCGTTTCGCTGCTAAGGGGCCCCGCCATGGACTTATCAGAATCCCAACCACTAGACCATTGGGATAAAAGGGCTTGTTAAGTAGCGGGTCAGTGCGCCCATAACCCCCCAGGCCAACGTGCCTGTAACCCTTCCCTAGGATCAATCGGGGATCACCAGTGGACTTCTGACACCCCCCCGCACTGGGATGCCCGAAGTGCATACACCGGGATTCGGACCCGAGACCTTCGCTCTGATACCATATCAGAATCCCAACCACTAGACCATTGGGATAAAAGGGCTTGTTAAGTAGCGGGTCAGTGCGCCCATAACCCCCCAGGCCAACGTGCCTGTAACCCTTCCCTAGGATCAATCAGGGATCACCAGTGGACTTCTGACAGGACTGGTGGCGAGTCATCGTGACGTAGCCACGCGCCTACGAGCCACCGTCGCAAGAGGAAGGGCCCACGGGCTCAGCTGTCACCTGGAGTTCATTCTGCGAGACCGCCCAATACAGCACGTGGGATGCGTGGTGCGCAGGGCTTCGGGCGCGCTTCGTGCCGATCGCGGCTTCTATTTCTGCGCGTCAGAGATTGCGCACTTGGTGGCAGCTTGGATCGGTTCAATATTATACGAATGGTTTTCTCGCATTATGCGAGCAAGTCGGCTACATGCACGAAGCGGAGCGGGTGGACCGTTACGTCGGAGGGCTGAAGCCGGACATCTCGCACGAAATCATGCTACGCGAGCTCTCGAACTTCAACGAGATTCTCGCGCTCGCCGAGAAAATCAACATTTTACGCCGTCCGAGACCAGGGTCCTACTATGGACATCGTCCTCGGGGACCGATCGAGCACGCCACTGTACACGCTGTTGCAACGAATGCAGCTGCCTGCGCCGTTTAAGGGGCGCTGCTTTGCTTGCAACAGGCCGGGCCATCGCAAGAGCGAATGCCCAGAGGAGCTAAGGTGCCGCGGAGCAGAGCAGGGGAGGGAGTCTCCAAAGCAAGGAAACGCCAGCGGTCAGTAGGAATCGGGCCAACTACTGACGAGACTGCCTGCTCGCCCAACCCCACCGACCCTCACCGAGTCACAGTACCGATTCATGCTATCGATCAGACTCGGACGAATAAGGAGGGTACAACGACGGATTGCCCAGTACTGATCCACGGGAAAATATAGGGAGCAGCAGTTAAGATTTTTATCGACAGAGGAGCAAGCCACAGCTTAGTTGATACCGCAACCGCACGAAAACTGCAGTTGACACTTAGCCGTTGCTTATCGGAGATAGACGCACGCTTAGTCGACGGCACGCCACAGGCCATACGGGAAAAGGTAGAGAGAGTCAAAGTCCGCTGCGGGGGAAATTTCGAGTTTACACAGGAAATGCTCGCAACGACACTGGATGGGCACGATATTTTACTGGGACGTGATTGGCTGCGACAGTAGAACCCGCGAATTGACTGGACGACGGGTAGCTGCACCGTGCGAAGTAGAGGTAACTGGGTCGAGCTACCTCGCTGGCAGTCGCCCAAGTCTTCAATGGTACACGTCAACGCCATCACAATGAAACGGGTCGTCGCTGCTGGAGCTGACGTGTACGCAGTAGACATCGCAGTAGTAGAGGAAGCAGAGCAGCCGAGTGATTTCAAGAAACTACTGGCACCCGTACCGCCCAAATTACAGGAACTGTTGAAACGATACCCCGGGATTTTCCCCGACGACTTACCGGAAGGACTGCCACCTCAGCGAGCACATGACCACCGAATCGAATTTGAACCGGGGGCACAGCCAACCGTACAACGCCAGTTCAGACTGACACAGCCCGAGCTCGACGAACTAAGGAAGCAGTTAGATTACCTGTTAGAAAAAAAATTCATCAGACCGAGCTCGTCACCGTTCGCCGCACCGATACTATTCTGTCAGAACTATATAGCTTATACTATTGTGTAGGCTATAGTGGGGCATCCCATAGGGGGTACAACCCAATTAGGGTTTCCTATTTGTACTCACTTCTTTCATAGTCATTTCATTCTCGTTCTCTCTTTCACATGGAATCAGAGCAGGTCCCCTACTAGGGACTGTTTCTTGGGCCCACCGAAGCGCGCCCCGAGGCGCGCGTCCTTTTTTTTTTAGCGACCCGTCGAGCCGCCCTACCTTGCGGCCCCGCCGCCCTATCGCGCGGCCTCGCCGCCCTAAGTCGCGGCCTGCCCGCCGCCCTACTTCGACGGCCCCGCCGCCCTACGTCGTGGCCCGCCGCCCTACTTCGACGGCCCGCCCGCCGCCCTACGTCGCGGCCCCGCCGCCCTACGTCCCGGCCCGCCCGCCGCCCTACTTCGACGGCCCGCCCGCCGCCCTACGTCGCGGCCCCGCCGCCCTACGTCCCGGCCCGCTCGCCGCCCTACTTCGAAGGCCCGCCCGCCGCCCTACGTCGCGGCCCTGCCGCCCTCAGCTACGCGGCCCCGCCGCCTTCTGCTACGCGGCCCTGCCGCCCCTCGATCGCGGCCCCGCCGCCCTCTGCTACGCGGCTCCGCCGCCCTCTGCTACGCGGCCCCGCCGCCCTCTGCTACGCGGCCCCGCCGCCCTCTCCTACGCGGCACCGCCGCCCTCTGCTCCGCGGCCCCGCCGAGCCGCCCAGCAGCAGCCGAGCCGCCGCCGAGCCGCCGCCGCCTGAGCCGCCGCCCGGGCCGCCGCCGAGCCGCCGCCGCCTGCGCCGCCGAGCCGGAGCCGCCCGAGCCGCCGCCCAGCCGCCCAGCAGCAGCCGAGCCGCCGCCGAGCCGCCGCCGCCCGAGCCGCCGCTGAGCTGCGACCGAGCCGCCGCCCGAGCCGCCCGAACCGCCCGAGCCGCCCGAGCCGCCCGAGCCGCCCGAGCCGCCGTGCTGCTGTTCCTGAGCTGTGTTCTTCTGCTGCTGACCTACCCGACTCTCCCAGCCCGGTGAGACTTCCAGCTGCTGCCATGGCCACCCCCAATGTTCTTACTTTTGACGCTGAGGGGAGGGCCATTGACTTTGCCGTCTGGATTGAAGACCTGC